TTGCTCTATCTATACTTTGACTTGTTTTACTTGTCTTTTTTGGTGCATTTCCCTTTGTTTATTTTGGCTTCTTATGGCTTGGTTTGTGAGTCAAAGTTGTCGTAACTCTTCTTGCTGATCTGTACTCTCTTTGCATACTTTTACTTGCTTTATAAATTTGCCTGGGGAATCCTCCCCTTTCAGTAGACTAACTATGACCCATTTAGTGTCATTTTGACCCAATTATACTCGTTACGAAGAAAGAGGCCCATTAAACCCATCAGGGTCTAATGAGACTATTTACGACCTAGTTGGTGTCATTTTGACTCAATAAGACTTTTTAACGAGAATTAGTCCTATCATATCCACTACCACTATTTGGACCCATTAAGGACCGTTAAGACCCATTCCGCCTCAATTACTCCCATTAACATCAGATTATATTAATTTTGAACCATTTAGTACCATTATGGCTCAGTTAGACTCGAATAGGAAAAATAAGCCCATGATAACCTTTAAGGTCTGAACAAACCAAATATGGCCCATTTAGTGTTATTCTGACCCAATTAGACTCCGTATGGAGAATTAGGCCCATTAGACCCATTAGGGTCTAAAAAAACTAATTATTACCTAGTTTGAGTCGTGTTGACCCAATTAGACTTTTTAAGAAGAAATAGGCCAATTATATTTCAACTAACACCAAATGGACCCTCAATCACTCCAATTAATGTCTGATTAGACTAATTTTGACGAATTTAGCACATCATACTCATTAAGGTCTGATCAAACTAAAAATGACCCAATTAGTGTCATTTTGGGCCAATTAGAATCCTTATGGATAAATGGGCCTATTAACCTACTAGGGTCTAATCAGATTAATTATGACCCATTTATTGTGATATTGATACAAATGACTGGATTACAACTAAATAGGCCCAATATACCCAATCAGTGTACATGGACCCAACAAGGACACTTAAGACATATTATACCCAACTAGTCGTTTTAACAACAAGTAAGACTAACTATGACCCTTTTAGTGTCATTTTAACCCAATTGGACTCGTTACGAAGAAAGGAGCCCATTAAACCCATCAGGGTCTAATGAGACTATTTATGAACTAGTTTGGTGTCATTTTGACTCAATTGGACTTTTTAACGAGAATTAGTCCCATCATATTCACTACCACCATTTGGACCCACTAAGGACCGTTAAGACCAATTTCACCTCAATTACTCCCATTAACGTCAGATTATACTAATTTTGAACCATTTAGTACCATTATGGCTCAATTAGACTCGAATAGGAGAAATAGGCCCATAATAACCATTAAGGTCTGACCAAACCAAATATGGCCCATTTAGTGTCATTTTGACCCAATTAGACTCCGTATGGAGAATTGGGCCCATTAGACCCATTTGGGTCTAAAAAGACTAATTATGACCTAGTTTCAGTCGTGTTGACCCAATTGGACTTCTTAATAGGGGTGTTCAAAAAAACAGTCGGACCGCTCAAACCGGCCGAACCAAGTCAAACCGGACCGTTTTTGGCGGTTTGAGCGGTCTGGCGGTCCGGTTTGAAAAATAGCCGAAACCGGGCGGTCTGGTCGATTTGCGGTTTAGACTTTTTTTTGGGCGGTTTGGACCAACCCGACCGCCATATATATATATAATATTTTATTTTAGTATTATAATTATTCAGCCCAATTAAATACCCAACTTTAATTTATATCTTATGAGCTATAATTATTCAGCCCAAACATAAAAGTCTTATCCAAAAGATTTCCTAAATCCCCTAAATCTAAATCCCTAATTTGGTAATTCCTAACCTAATCGGTTAATCCAAACATCCAGTAATCCACCGTCCACGATTACACGATATCCACTATCCACCTCTTTTTCGTTCCTAATCGTCGTAACGTCGCCTAATTCATCTAAATCCTAGTGTTTTGACTTTTTTTAAACAATGAATACTAAGATTTGGATTCTATTTTGACTTTGTTTTTTGGTATGTTTTACATATTTATTTATTTGGACTTTGGACTTTGGATTGTTTAAATTGGGTTTAAACTTTAATGGCTACTTCAATGCTTAGTGGTTGGTATACAGATTACTCACATGTGAATGACACTTATTTTTTAGTACTTTTATTGTAGAAAACAAATCTCCATGGGAGATGATTATGATGGGTGATTAATATTTATTATTCAAATTTATAATAGTACATATGACACTAGGTTTTTTGGTTTTAATGTTTAAAGTCCATTAAAGGCTCAAACCGCCTAAACCGGTTAGACCAGACCGCCTTTTCGTGGTCTGGTTTGACCGGTCTGGGCACTTGGTTTCAAACCGCTCGGTCTAAAAATATCACAAACCGCCATTACGGTTTGGTTTGTGGTATGAGGGCTTAAACCGCCCAAACCGGACCGCGAACACCCCTACTTCTTAAGGAGAAATAGGCCAATTATATCCACTAACACCAAATGGACCCACAATCACTCTAATTAATGTCTGATTAGACTAATTCTGACGAATTTAGCACATCATACTCATTAAGGTCTGATCAAACTAAAAATGACCTAATTAGTGTCATTTTGGGCCAATTAGAATCCTTATGAATAAATGGGCCTATTAACCTACTAGGGTCTAATCAGATTAGTTATGACCCATTTATTGTCATTTTGATCCAAATGACTCGATTACAAATAAATAGGCCCAATATACCCAATAAGTGTACATGGACCCATCAAGCACACTTAAGACATATTCTATCCAACTAGTCGTATTAACAACTTGTTAGACTAACTATGACCCATTTAGTGTCATTTAAACCCAATTAGACTCGTTACAAAGAAAGGAACCCATTAAACACATCAGGGTCTAATGAGACTATTTATGACCTAGTTGGTGTCGTTTTGACTCAATTAGACTTTTTAACTTGAATTAGGCCCATCATATCCACTACCACCATTTGGACCCACTAAGGACCGTTAAGACCCATTCTGCCTCAATTACTCCCATTAACGTCAGATTATACTAATTTTGAACCATTTAGTACCATTATGGCTCAATTAGACTCGAATAGAAAAAATAAGCCCATGATAACCATTAAGGTCTGAAACTGAAGGACTCAAAGGTTGACTGATCTTTGACTTTTTCTCTCAAGGCTATGACCATTTGATGTGTTTTTGAAGGATTCGAAGAACATGGGATCTGGATCGGTTGTCAACATTGCATGTTCGTATATTTTGGGTTGCGATTCCTTGGATTCTCTTCATTAGGGTTGCTGGCCGTACTGTTTTTTAAAGGATTCTTTGTTCGGGGTTCTTTGATCTGCTGATTTTGGTACGTGATTTCTTCTTTGTTGTGTTTTGTGCGCTGCTGTTTTGATTTCCTTCGATCCCTTGTGGCTGGGGATAGTATCGCTTGTTTGTTAGGGTTTGTTGGTCGTCGGCTTGAAGGTGGGTGTTTAAGGTTTGTTGATTGCGAGTTTATACTTGCGTTTTTTTAACCTACCTTGGATTCCTTGGACCTGGTTCTACCTTTAAACTGTTTGGTTAAAGGGGTTTGCTGCGGGCTTCTTTCCTTCAGTTCTAGGGGCGGTTTTTATGATTTTATGTGCTCCTGGTTTCGATTTGGTTGATGTTGTTAATCAATATAGAGTGTTACTGCTGGACCATTGTTGTTTTACTTAGACAACCGTGTATACGACTGCCTGGCTGTGATTGCTGCTGTTTGGTTGGTTGTTTCCGCTGCTGTTGATCACACCTTTATTTCTTTTGCTGTTGATTTTTCTGGTGCTGCTGTCTGTTCTTAGCGGCTGTTTTGGTGCTTTAAGCGGTTATCTGCTTGCTGTTGCTGCTGTCCGATTTTATGATTTTATGTGCTGCTTGACTATCCAGTACATAGAAGTATAGCTAAGACAACTGCTGTTTTGGTTGTTTGTTGCTACCGTTGTTTGAACGCACCTTTGTTTCTTCTGCTGTGGTTTTTTTGGTGATGTTGCTGCTGTCCGATCGATAGGCAACTCCTTTATTAGGATCGGTTATGCCTGCAATTTTGGTGAATTTTTGCTACTGTTGGGAGGACCTGTCAGCTTGTTTAGGGGCTGTTTACTTGTCGTGGAGAGCAGTTTTAGCTGTTGTTTGCTGTTTTCGATTTGGTGGAGAATTGTCTTTTAAGCTGATTTGGTTGTATGTTTCTTCTAAGGACCAGATTTCTGCTGATTGGTCTATACTTCGGCTACTTTTGGTTCTGATTGCTGTCCGTTTACGGGTAGAGGCTGGTGGTTTGAGTTCGGCAGGGTTTGATTCTTGAATCTGTTTTGAGTTGCTGGTGTTTATTTCTTCGGTATTATTTCCTGATTTTGGTTGGTTCTATTTGTGCTTACGGTTTTAAGGTACGTTGGGTTTTCTTTTCATTTTCAGTCCTCATTTTCATGTGTTAAGTGTTTATGTGGTCTTCGTTACTCTTGGAGAGTTCTTTGGTAGTATATTCAGCACCTCGGTTACGAGGTCTTCGTCTATCCTATTAAGGTCACTCAAAAAGGGTTTTAGCACCACGGCTTCTTGACATGTGGAATGGGAACGGTTAATGATCCTGCCCCCTTACCCGCTGATCCTAGTCGGGTTTCCGTTTTTGAAAGGCTCTCCTCTCTTGAAGATATGTCAGGAGGTAGCCAGCCTGTTGGCTCTGAGGGTATGGTTAATGGAAAGTTAAATTTTGAGCAAGCAGTTGGTCGTTCGATTGCTACGGATCTGAACTTTTACCCGTTGGCTGACAAAAAACAGGTTAGTGTGAAAATCCAAATTGAAATGGCAAAGGAAGCTGCGATAGCTTATAATTCGGTTTTGTATGGTTATTTTTTGGGCACGCGTATACCATTTCCCTTAGTGAAATTTATGTTTTTTGATACGATTATCATCTACTTGTCATAAACATTATCTTATTAGGAACTTAAAGGTTTTTTTACGGTTCTTATCTTTTATTATAGTTGGTTAAACATATTAAAATTGAATTCTTCTATTTGTTGTATATAGCAGTTGATGTTTTTGATAGTGCCTTCATTTTCCTGGAGAAAGTAGCCTTTGTTTCGTAATGCATGCATGATGCAGGAATCTCTAGAAATGGAATTTCCACTTGATGAAGAATTTTGTGGCATGCATCAAGTAACTAATGGAAATGGCATACTAATAAATTATCATAACAGATATCCATTACAACAACAAACTATCAATGTTCCATTTCGAAGCATAAAACTAATATGTGCATTATTAAGGTTAGGCTTTACATCTTGTTCAATCATAGATATGTGATTTATTTGCAGAACTAATTCATTATGTATGCGAGCAAAGTAAATGAGTACCTGGAAGTTAGAAAGTTGTTCTTTAGTCAATTTCGTAGGCAACCTGGAGAACAGTACAACATTGTTGAGCTCCCACAGTTCCACTGCACCTTCATCATGCAATGTCACATACTTGACGCTAGCAAGTATAAGATTTTTTGCTGCATGATTTGTAAAAAATGAAGCCATTGCATAAGGACAGCATATCAGATTTCAAAATGAATCATTTTTCCAATTTAACACTCATGATTATGCATAACCACTCTGCTGTAATCCAGTTCCAAGCAAGAAAATACGCTATTTGACATCAATGTCCAATACATTAACATTGATATGAAGAGGACAGTTACCAATATAGTCTTAATAGCACGAAAGGCAATATGGATATCCTAACCAGAGGCAGCTATAATGCAGTTGCGTCGAGTAAGTGAAAGACTATAATAACAATTCTTATAACAAGATAAAATGTTGCCCACTAAGGTAGAGTTTGGTACACATATAGGAGAAGACTGATTTCGATAGGACAAGTTGTCTATATGGTGTTTGGTGCAACTAAGACACGAATAAACAAGTTGCATGTACAGTGTTTGGTAAAATGGACAAGACAGGACAAAACTATTAAAATAGACAAGACACGAATAAACAAGTTTCATATACAGTGTTTGGTAAATTTAAATCATGAACCGTATATGAAGGATGAGAATTCATACATGGGCCAGCAGCAGACACTTGTAGGATAGATGCATGATCCTTAGAAGATGTATGTGAAGAAGAAGGGTGGGTGGGGGGTGGGTAGGGGAGTGGGGCAAATGATCACCCAAAACAGAAAGGTTGCAGGGGGGTTGAATGACAAATATTTGAACTTAGAAGGAGAGGAAAGGATAAAGGGAACATATTGGGGATTGAATTCTTAGGGCCCAAAATGGCCGGATGGGTTGTAGAAGCAGTCTTGTGAGAATCATAATGCCCCTAAAACCTGTCTAAAGTTTCTATATATCATATATTAGTTTTTTTTTTTGAATGGTAACCAGGCAAATTTATAAAACCATAAAGGAGTACAACAAAATATGCAACAGACCACACCTAACAGGGCAGGAAACCCAAAAACTTGGACAACTCCCTGTACCAACCTACCATAAGCCAGAATGAACAAAGGCCAACTGACTCAAACAAGAAACTAAAGATGAAGAACAGGAGCTTGAAAATAACAACAGCTCTCCAAGACCAAAAAACTAACCCTCATGTCAAAACAACATTTCCCATCAATCTTCCCTCCATCCAAGCCACATGATTAGTGATCGTCTGATCAATGACTTTGTAAATCTGCATGGCAGTGCGCCGTTCCCCAGTGAAAAGTCTTCTATTTCGTTCTTGCCAAACGTAATAGACCGACGCCGCCATCGCAAGTTTCTAAATTAACTTTTTAGGACGACGATTAGGATCCGAAAGTAATTCTAAAATTTGATCCCATGTAGACGGCATAGCAGATAAGTCCACAATACGCATGATATTGTCCCATACTTCACGAGCAAAAGTACACTCAAAAAATAAGTGTGAATGGCTATCCAATCTCTGACCACAAAGTGAGCACTTTAGGTCTGGGGGTTCATCCTTCCAAAACAGACGGTCTTAAGTAGGGAGACGCCTATGACAAGCAAGCCATAGACAGAAAGCATGCTTAGGAATATGGCCTGAGAACCATACCGATTTATACCAAGGTACAATCGGATAAGTTTCCTCCAACGAGGCCCAAGCATTACTAACCTTGAAACCCGAAATTGAAGTACTATCACCTCCCCAGAGAACTTGATCCCGATGAGCATCAATTAAAGAAGGCAAAGGAGCAGAAGTAAGCACATCAAACCTGGAACACCACTCATCCGACCATACTCCACCCAAACTCATGATAAGTTCACGTACCGTAGTTCCAATCGAGAACCCACAAGAATGGATAAAGTGGTAAGACATAAAGGCCGTAAGATGACCACATGGAAGCCAAGTATCCTCCCAAGCATTTATATCTTTGCCGTCACCTATTTGAGACACTAAATACCATCGCAAATTTAGTCTTAAGTCCAGTAATTTACGGAAGACCCACGAGCAATTGGAATTTTTCCGAACCAACCAGAAGTGAGAAGAACGAAGGTTATGACGATAAACCCAACGAACCCACAGAGAATCACGATGGCGGACAATATCCCAAACATGTTTAGCCAGTAGAGCCCTATTCCAGGTTGTCACACGCCGAATTGCAAGACCCCCTGACTGAAGAGGTCGACAGACCACTTCCCAAGATAATCTACACCGCCCTCGAGGGCCATCCCTTGGGGCCCAAAGGAACTTCCAGAAGATCGATTCCAGATCATGGGTTAACCTAGACGGAAATAAGAACACAAACATCCAATGCAACTGAAGAGATTGAAGAACCGATATAATGAGTTGTCTACGTCCTCCAAAAGAAAGAAACTTAGACTTCCAATTAAGAATACGGCCCTTATCCTTAACAATCATAGGGCTATAATCACTTATCTTCAACCGAGTTAGAGATAAAGGGACTCCCAAATATCAGACAGGAAACGAGCCAAGTTTAAAGGGAAGCCTCTCCAAAATGGCTTCCTTGAGGTTAGGGGGCACATTCGCAAAATAAATCTCACTTTTTACAAGGCTTGGTTCCAAACCTGAGCGTTGTTGAAAGAGAAAAAGGGCCTTTTTAAGCACCTCCACCGATTGGACATCACCTTTAGTAAAAACAAATAAATCATCTGCGAAGCACAAGTGAGTCAGATCCATCTCCTCACAACCCCAATGGTACTCGAAATCTGATGCTTCTCAGATACATTGTCTAAGGAGCATAGAAAAACCCTCCGTTACAATTGTGAACAGATATGGAGATAATGGATCACCTTGCCGAAGACCCCTACCTCCATGATAAAACCCGTAAGGTTCACCATTAATCGCAAGCGAGTAGGAGGTAGCGGACACCATCTCCCTTATCCACTTGACCATAACCGGATGGAACCCCAAACCCTGCAGCATAATGATGAGGAACCGCCAGTCCACCATATCATAAGCCTTTTTAATATCTATCTTGAAAGCACATCTAGGCGGACCTTTCATAGTCTGATACCCCGAAATAAGCTCATGGGCCATAAGAATATTGTCCGTGATCTTCCTCCCCGGGATAAATGCCGATTGGGCCTTATCAATAAGGGAGTCCAAATAGTCCTTCATTCTGTTTGCAATGACTTTACTAATGCATTTATAAAGTACATTACAGCAAGCTATAGGCCGGTAATCCGTGACCGTAGAAGCATTAACAGATTTAGGGATAAGACAAATAAGCGTATGATTCAATTCCTTCGGGAGGTTACCTCGATAAAAGAAATTATGAATGGCAATTTCCACGTCACACCCAACAATATCCCAAGAAGCCATGAAAAATCTCGAAGAAAATCCATCAGAGCCGGGAGCTTTATGATTACCAATGCTAAACATAGCATTTTTAATTTCTTCATTTAGAATCGGTCGGATCATATGGTTAGCTTCCGAGATAGAAAGCTTTCTCGTAAATAAGTCTTCGGACATAACCGGGTCAGGAGAGTCGTACCTTTTTCCAATAAATTCTGTAAAGTAGTCAATAAAGGCTTTAGGAACGTCGTCTCCATAAAGAAACTCACCATTACTCTTGCAGATGGATTGAATGGAATTGTAGTGATGTCGTTCTTTGATCACTTTATGGAACAATTTGGTATTCATATCACCCTCATTCAACCACTTGACTTTGGAACGTTGTTTCGCTGCCCATTCCTCGTCCCAACAAGCCTTTTGGTAGGCAATTCGAAGATGACCAAATTCTAAACCCAACTCTGCATTATCTAGTTCTTTATCGATGTCTAGTTGGATACGATCTAACTCATGTTTTAAAAAGGAAGCTCTCTGCCTAAGATTACCAAAGGTATTGCAAAGTTTATGAAGAGGGACCTTGAGAGCTTTCAAGAGGGAAGTGACCCGAAACATAGGAGTCCCCTCAACATGATTAGACCATTCCTCCTTAACAACCTGAAAGAAATTCTGGTGCTCAGTCATGAAATTATCAAATTTAAAGCTATACCTCGATTTCCGTACACCTTCTTTGAGAGCTAGAACCAGCGGTGCATGATCCGAAATTCTCGCAGCAAGAAATTTTACGTTAGCATCATGGAATTTAGAAGTGAAATCTGCATTAGCCATGGCCCTGTCAAGTTTACGCATGATTCCCCCTTCAGAATTCGGTTTCTGGTTCCAAGAGAAGTGGACACCAGTGTAATGCAAATCAAAAACTTCAACATCCTCAGTACACGTAGCGAAATCAGACATATCTGTGTTGCAGCGAGAAGAACCCCCAAATCCATTGTGCGGAAATAACATGGTGTTGAAGTCTCCCATTACTATCCAAGGGTTTGAACTCATCAACACTTTAAACTTCCGTAACCCTGACCATAAATCTCTTCTTTGATTGCAAGTATTTGCACCATAGACCAAGGACAAAAAGAAATAGTCTTGGCCACCTCTTAAAGCTACTTTATAGTTGAGGAATTGATTTTGAGCCTCCATTAGCATAACATCTAATTTACGGGGATCCCAAGCAAGAATTATACGTGTACCCATCACACACGCAGCTTGATTAGAAATCCAAGACCATCGGCTAAAAATCTTAGAGCACACAGTTTGAAGGGAATCCTTAGAGACATGAGAGTCGACAATAGCACACAAACATAACTCATTGCAATGAATAAAATTCTTCACCTCATTTTGCTTAACCGGAGAATTTAGTCCCCGGATATTCCAAGTCGCAAAATTTAACATGAGGAATTAGAGGGTTCAACCCCTTGCTCCCGCCTGTCCACATTCATTGTGTTCGCCACAGGGTCTTTATCCTTAACCATAAGGTGATCTTCATGATTTACCTCACCGCGTAACTTTTCAAGAACACCATATCTGTTAGTGCCCACCACATGATCTAACAGAACACCCCTCCGGAAGTTTTTGACCACTGAATCAATAAGAGGGGTAGAAGTATTCATAGGTTGGGAAGGATGGATATGTTGGGAAAAAGAAGAAGATCCAGAATCTACAATCGTGCCTGAAGCCTTTGTTGCATTCTTCACATTCTCTCCAGATTGGCCTCCTTCAATAATACCATTATTCCTCATCTTCTTTTGATCCCTTTTCGATGTACTTGCTAATAAATCCACCGGTTGATGGGCAATGTTTTCATTCGACGTATCCTTGCCTTGTTCGGATTGCTTGGGTTTACTTCCCGCTAACGGCCTCCATTGCTTTTTCACCACTCTGATAAAACCCTCTGCATCCTTTCTCCTATCAATTTCCTTCTCTTTGTGCAAACTAGCTCCTTTTGCACATCCCGAAATTTTATGACCAAAAACCTTGCAATGGGTGCATTGAATCGGCTCCCACAGATATTCAACCTGAATATTCACTATTTCAGCATCACCTCCATTTAGATTTGGGATTTCTACTTCAATATGCCTTTTCAGTTCCCCAACAGCCCATACTTCAATCAAAACCTTAGCGAACCCCGGTCTTCCCCAGGCTTTTTCACACATCGATGCAGTACTAGAATCCATCTATTTCGGTACTCCCAAAACACTCGCAATGCGACTTACACCCTCTTTGTTAAAAGCAACTAGAGGGATATTATGTAATTTCACCCAGAGGGGACAAGAAGAGTGTTCCGGTTTCCTCAACCCCTTAGAGGGATCCCATCATAGACAAATAGGGGGATACCTCTTATCATTAACGGCCCAGCTTCAATAGCCTGGTCACACCCTCCTATATCATTGAACTTGAAGAAAAAAATCTCATTCTCATTTAGCATTGCATCTTTAAAGCCATACTTACCCCACGCTGTTGTGATAAAGTTTTTGACTATAGGAAAATGAATACGAGGGCCCAGGAAGTAACCATACAACACCGAGTTATACGCTTTAGCAGCTTCCTTGGCCATTTCGATAGGAATTTTCACATTTACATCATTTTTATCAGCCAAGGGATAATAAGCGAGACCCGTGGCAAACGAGCATCCAACCGCTTTCACAAAATTTAACTTTTCTTTAACACTCGGCGCATTTTCGCTAGGTGAAAGTCTCTCAAAAACAGAAGTTCTACTAGGAACAGTGCTCATAGGACCCGGTTCATTCCCTAAATCCATTGCCCAGGAACAAACAGCACAGCAAAATCCACTAGTAACCTCTTATGAAGAAAACCCGAACAGCAGTGATCAAATCCTAATACACAGTTAGAAACCACGGTGCAAAAAAAAAATTTAAGGGACTTGCTGTTAAACAAACAGGAGCCGAGCCTCAAAACCGAGAACAAATCTGCTTCCAACTAAAGAATCTATAGCCAATAGAATTACCCTCGCTGAGCAGAAAATGTAACCAAAAGCCAGCAGTTTGCTTGCAAGACGAACCCAAACAGCTCAAAATAAACAGCACCAAAACTGGATGCTGTATGCTGTAACTCGACCACCAGCAAGGAGGAAACAGTCACCAATCTGTCCTTGCAGCAGTAGCTCGAAACTGCAAGCTCGGCACCAGCACGGAAGAAACAGCAGTAAAGAACTGCAGCAAAACAGATTGCAGTCGCCCAATTGAGAAATGTCTAAGCCACAGCTGCTACTTTTGTAAACAGAAGCCCGTGACACAGAAGCAGCAGACAACAATAAACCCAAAAATATGAAGGCCCTCAGCAGCATACAAACTAATGCAGCAGAGTAGTGAAATTGCAGCAGCCCAACAGAAGTGGCTATGCCACAGCTGCTACCTTTCTGTAAACAGCAGCATCACACAACTGCCGGTTTTCAAAAGAAAAACAGCAGCAACCAGCAGCCACCGTTCACAGTATCAGCAGACAGCAATAAACACAAATTATGAAGACCCTCAGGAACATACAAACTAATACAGCAGTGCAGTAAAATTGCAGCGGCCCAATGGAGAAGTGGCTAGGCCACAGCTGCTACCTTTCTGTAAACCACCACCACTACAATTTTTCAAAGGGAACAGCAGCAACAACCAGCAGCAACCGTTCACAATATTACCTGGCTTCTAATGAGGACGGCAGAATCAAATAATCCTGTCAAAACCACAGAAGCAGCAGCCAGCAAATTCAAGGGATGTTTGATCCCCAACCAACAGCGATAGCCAAAGAAACCAGAATTTGTAATGAGTCAGTAGCAATCAAAAGCTGCCACAGCCCACTGCAGCAATTCTTTTACCAAAGGTCCTCGATAATTGCCAATCTAAACCAGGAACTAACAACATCAAACATTCAAAGAAACTGGTTTCTAGCCCAGTAGAATCTACGAATTAAGCTGAAGACTCTCCCTGCAATCAATTACCAAACAGGAAGGAACACATCCAGCTCACACCAATACCTCTAGAACTAACCAGTCTGTTCCCTTTACTCAATAAATAAAATACGGCCGAGGAAATAAGAAACCACGGTCCAAA